TTTTGTTTGACTTTGCCCAGGAGCTCCTTGTTCATCCATGGGGGCCTCTTGGTGTTTTTGCTTGACTTCCTCTTTGTTGGGATGCATCACTCCTGAGCTTGGAGGAGGAGATCCTTGATTAGCCAGCTGTCTTGGGCCCCTCTTCTTTCCAGGGCTTTGTCCCATGGTATTGTACCAAGCAGATCCCTGGAGAGGCCAAGGTCTGCTCTCCTGAAGTCCAGGGTAGTGAGATCGCTGCGCACCCTCCTCGCTGCCCTGAGGATCCTGAATTCCACCATTTTGTGGTCACTGCAGCCAAGGCTGCCCTTGAGCTTGACGTCCCCTACCAGGCCCTCCTTATTGGTGAGAAGAAGGTCCAGCATGGCACCACTCCTCCTAGACTCCTCTATCGCTTGGAGGAGGAATTTATCATCAATGCATTACAGGAACCTCTGGATTGCTTGTGCCCTGCTGTGTTGCCCCTCCAACAGATATCGGGATGTTTGAAGTCCTCCATGAGGACCAGGGCTTGTTAATGTGAGGCTGCTCCTATCTGCCTATAGGCGCTCTCATCCGCTCCATCTTTCTGGTTAGGTGGCATGGCAGAGACCTGCTATTATGAGTCGTGTCCCTGCACTCCCTTTAATTCTGACCCGTAAGATCTTGGTTGGCTCCTCAACCACCCCCAGGCAGAGCTCCATGCAGTCCAGCTGGTCATTGACATAGAGAGCGACACCCTCTCCTCATCTGCCCTGCCTGTCCTTCCTAAGAACCTGTATCCTTCCATCCCAACACTCCAGTCATAGGAGCCATCCCACCATGTCTCTGTGATGCCAATAAGGTCATAGTCCTGCAGGCGTGTGCATGTGTCCAACTCCTCTTGTTTGTTCCCCATGCTATGTATGTTAGCATAGAGGCATTTCAGGTGGGCCCCCAGTGAGGCTGGTTTACCGGCTGGAGTGCCTGGAATTCCTTTGATGTATTTTCCCATTGTGTCCCAGTTGGTTCCTATTGCCTCATGAGCCCCTGGCTCATCTCCTCTAGACTTCGAGCATGCTGCAGCGTGTCCAGCATGTCTCTGAGCAACAGGCTGAGGCCCATCGCCAGCACCCCGTCCCTCCAACCTGGACATGTAATCCCACAACTTGTCACAGGCAAACCTGATATCCCCGTCCCCCTCTGAGCCTAGTTTAAAGCTGTGTCAGTGAACCCTGCTCACTCCTGGGCAAAGACCCTTTTTCCCCTTTGAGTGAGGTGAAACCCATCAGAGTTCATCAGGCCTGGTGCTGTGTAGGCCATCCCATTGTCAAAAAATCCAAAGTTGTGGTAGTGATACCAGCCACAGAGCCATGCATTTATGGACTGTGTCTGTTTCTCCCAACACCGCTGCCCGCAACTGAAAGGAGGGAGTTAAAAATAACTAGCGCTCCAGATTCTCTCAGTAATAGTCCCAAGACCCTGAAGTCTCTTTTGATTGCTTTTGTATTACGTGTTGTGGCTGTGTCACCACCCACGACTGTGCAACTTTCTTGAAAAAGTGTCTGTTGCTTACTTCTTACAATGTCTTGCTATCTATTTTTATGCTATAAACTAAACCTACTGTTTTCACAGAGTTAACAGTACAATTGCATTTTCTAGAAATTGGGAAAAATAATGTCTCCTGTATTATCCAGTTTAAGTCTTCTCTTTACTATTACCCACTACCAGAATTTGAAGGCTTGGCTTGACCACCATTTCACAAAAAGAAAGAGAATGAAACATGACATTTTGTTTAAGATACAATTCTTAATGATATGAAGATTGAAGTCTAAAGCTGCAGCATTCACATTTAACTACTTAACAGAAAAAGCGCCTTATCAACCCATATTTCAGTAATGCTAAAGGAAACAGACATATACACTCAGGTGTTCTCCAAAACATATTTTTAATGTAATCTGCATTTGGAGCCTAAAGAGAGTAAAAGCAGAGAAATATGCTTGTTATTCCTTTTTTACATTACTGTTAAAGCTAAATTACTTCACGTAAAAAGGAAACGGCAGTATTTCCACACACGGAGCTAGCCCTGCATAGGAAGTCTTTGTGACAGAATGGAACAGAAATACAACATTAGTTAAAACCAAACCAACAACAGCTCTTCATTCTGCCCTCACTGCAGGGTCAACAGTTACTTTCACACTCAATGCCAAGATACAGGAGTTGTCTCCCATCAATTTCCCCAAAATTACTTTGAAGCATTAAATATCTGAGACTACAGTGAAGTCACAGAAGATAAAAATTAGTGTTTAGTCTGCTTACATTTGTCAACATTTTAGAGTGTAACAGGCATTCCACCCTATATTTCAAAGCACAAGGAAGCTGTTTCAAGAGCAGTCATATCCTGCCCCTGTCATCTTGCAGTTGATATAAAACTCTGGAGAGGCACATTTTTTCCTCATAAGGTTTTTATCTTTTTCTAAATCCTCCTGTAAGGATTTTGCTATAGCACTCTATTCCTTTTTTAAAGTAGTGTTTTGTAAAAATGGCAACAGGTTAATTTTAACCAGTTGCAAAACAGTCATTAAAAGACAGCTTTTTGGGGACCTAGGAAATGCACAAAATTACTTCCTATCCAGGGACTGCTGTAAAGTATATATGGAAAGCTAACCACACCGTTGCCTTGTGTTTCAGAGTGTCTTTACATTGCGCTTAACAAACAGAACAGAGACACCACAGACAGCTGTTAACAGCATAAGCAATACAAAAATACGAATACAACTTTAGAACTTGGTTAAGAAAAGCATTTCATTTTTTTATGAGAATATTCTTAATCTTCCTGGTTGAATTTCTTGAAATCCAAGATGATTAGAAGAAAAACTGCTTTGAGCATTTATCCCCTGCCCCCAAAAACACAACACCAGAGGCCTCAACAAGCAAGGAGGTATCAGTGTCTTTGTGTCTAGGGAGCCATACCTGTAAATAGTTTAATGAATTTTAAAACCTGTTTTGCCCCTGTAGGGCATACAGTGTTTTCCACAGTGTTCTCAATGTTTTTCTACATTGGTAGCTCAGAAGCAGTACATTTCATCAGAAAAAAAAAGCTCAAATAGGAGGAAAAGAGAAGAACAGGAAAAGAATGAGTTAAAAATACAACAAAAATAGATTTTTTTTTTTTCTGCATGCTTTTAGGTTCTTTGTCCTTACCACAGTTTGAGTCCAGCTAGCAACACTACTGCATTTAGCATCAACATGTTTCACTAAAATAAACTAATTCCCACCTCTGAATGAGTAACAGGTTTAAGGATTTTTTTAAAAAAAAATCTGGCCCAAAAAGCTGGTATCTATACTGGAGACAAAACAGGTGTGGAGACAAAACTGGTTTGAATCAGGGGCTGAGGAAGCAAAACTGCTACTACCCATTAGCGCTGGCCTTGGTGGCACATGCATCTCAGACAAGGCCTGCTGTCCCAACCCTCCCTCCCAATCAGCAAATCCTGAACTAAGCCTCAACACATTACCCAGCACAGGCTCTGAACCAATTTGTCTTTAAATTAAGAAAAATTAAACAGGGTAATGTAGACATATTGGGCCAAAGGAAAAGTGGTATTAAATGCATGAACTCATCCGCCATACTAAGTTCAAGTATCTGACAAGGTAAGAGTTCAGCAGATAGCCTCATCACCATGAAAAATTAAATTCTGCATGAAGGCGACAGTCTTTAGGACTGATGCACATTGTAGGTATTTAGACAGAACTACATAGAATAAATCAGTACATCCTAGTAAATTGGTTTGTTTTTAAAGAGTAGCTAACAGAGTAAGCCTTCCTTGTACAAACTTTCACTAGATTTACATATATTTAATAGTGATATATGCTTTCTCTTTTGGGAATGTTTTCCATTAAAAAATTTGCTAACAGTTAACAATTTTTAGATTATATTTCTGTACTAATGTCCAACTAATTTTAAGCAGGATATTTGACAGTTATAAAGACAGAAATTGAAACTAAATACACTAAAGAGCAGTACAGATTCCAGAGTATAAAACTCTAAAAATTCCTTTCTCTGTGACCTATAGAAAAAGAACTATTTTTATGACTTGAAGTATAATGTGGATAATTTCTAGCATGGTATGATTTGTTGATTATCCCTACTTACAGAGTAGTAGAAAAGCATAAAAAAAAAAGGAATTAAAAAAATCAAACTACATCTTCTCACAAATGACAACTTGGGTGGCATGTTTTTTAATCATTACAAATAAGAGAAATTCAGCCAACTGAATAGAATTTTACTCCTGTGTATTTGCAAGAGAAACTAACAAGACTTCCTCATTCTCACAAGTTCACACAATGTAGACATGGCATAGGACAAACAGACGAAAGTTGCTTCAAAATACAGCGTCTGAAAGTGGCAATAAACAAACAGCACTGCTTTCAACATACTTTTGTTTAAAAACATCCCCATATTTTTAGCAAGAATGGCTAAGCTAGTAGGCACCACGCTGTACACTAACAGGAACCCCAAAACAGCCCCAAAGCAAGGAAGAACTGTTCTTATATGCTCCCAAGACACATTCTTCCTCACCTTAATTCACAAATGACAAAAATGTTCTGACATAAACTGCAAAAATAAAACCAAAATATTAAAGAAGACCCTCCTAAACCAACTTTACCTTTATCTAATTAATTTGGCTTCTAAATAGCTCTATCACTTACAAAGGCCTAAATCAACCTGTTGAATTTCTGGAGCAATAAGCCCATAGGTACACTTACTGCCCACCACTGAAATGAAACATCAAGTCAAAACTACCCAATATGCTAAACCACTAAACTTGCAACTAAACTGTATTCTACCCAACAGAAGTGAACCTCACTTTAAGACATTTGCAGGGCTAATGTGCCATAATAAATTCTACTATTAATCAACAGTAAAGTGCTGAATTATATTAATTACCTGAATCGCACTCACATTTATGATCTTCATTTATAGATTTCTTATCAAGTCAAAAGAGCCCTTTCTGTTGTAAAAGCTAAGCTGTTGTGCAAATATTATAAAAATAGGTACTTTAATTAGGAGCTATATACACAACAGAACTTCCGCTTTTTGTTAAGTACAGCTAACATAGTAGAGATGAAAAACCCATGCAAGTATTTATAAAGATACTTAAAATGAAGAAAAAAGGACACTGCTATAGAACTTCCAAAACCCTGGCATAGAGCCACTTACTATACTAGATGATGTCTAGATCCGGACTGCTAAGCATCATGCCATCAACATGCTTTAGTTTCTTTTGTACCTAAAGTTGATTTGTAAATTTTAAACTACAGCATACATTTGACCTATTTCTCATTAAAGTGTATCATTAAGTTTGAGGTTAAACTTTGAGCAAACTTCACATCTAGTCACATAACCAGCACAAGCAAGACATTAGTGCAAAGGGGAAGGTATCAGTTGTACATAATGAGGACTCTTCCCCTAACTGCATGATGCAATAAAACAATTTTCAGATTTAACATTCAAGAGGACTATGATGAGAAAAAGCAAGATTTTCTTCTCCCAAATTTAGGACAAATTTCCAGAGGATCAAAAGGAAAGCAACCTCTGTTACAGCAGTCAAAAAAGTCAAACCCGAGTTTGGAGAGGTGATAAGTAACTCCAAAATTCATCATGCTATGAAAACAGCATTCTCAAAAGAGCTCCAAACAAACTGCAAAACAAAATTGGCATTTAAGTTGAAATTGGCCAAGTGCTGCATAGAAATATGCTCACACACAACAGTCATGTTGAAGCCAGTGCATAGAGAAGATAAAAGCACTTATGGTAGTTGCAAATGCTAACAAGTCCATACAACTTGTACAGTTTAGCAATGAGTCCATAGAAAAAGAATAGAGTAAGAGCAGAAATGCTCAAGCAAAACCAAAAAAGGATGACCTTCCAACTGTATAAAATCCACATAACAGTTATAGTAAAAAGACATCAGTGGAAAATACTCAACTCAGTCCCAAACACTCAACAGGCAAATAAGACCAGAATAGACAAGCCTTTGGCAGACAATTTTAAGAGTCTAAATATGGCATTACATTTCTAAATAATCCACAAAATATATTATATGGCATATTCATATTAAGTACTGGGTAATCAACTCTGCAGATCTGATGCTAACAACACTTTAGCCAATGAGAGCAAGATGGAGCAAGCTAAGGGAACGCTGGTGTATCACAACAGTGCTCAATGAAAATATCGTCACCAAGTCGTGCTTCAATAACAGTACTCTAGGACTCCACGCTATCATCTATGGAGCAAAACAAAGTTCTCTAGTTTTGCAGGGATGTGCCCTGTGTAGTTTATGTTATGCTTCACTATTACACGAGCAGCAAGACACTGCAATGTAGTATGATTTATGGGCTGGATTAAATTTTTTGCTATTTCCTTCTCATCCAGCAAATCACTAGCTGTTTGTTTATGCGAGTTTGTGGCATCAAAGTGTGAACCTGACTTGATAAGAAGATTCATGATGTCTGGATGGTTGTTCAATGCAGCAATGTGTAATGGACTGTTGTTATCAGAGTCTCTGACATTTACATCAGCACCACATTCCACCAGGATAGCAGTAACTTGTAGAGAGGGGAATTTACAAACTGGGTAGCGCCCCACACATGTAGTATTATTGTCAACAGCAAGGTGAAGTGGACTGAAGTTATTCTTCCCCCTAGGCTGAAGCTTAAGAAACTTGTAAATAGTCTGTTTCTTAAAATGCTCCTGTTCTGAGCTGCCAGGTACTTTCTCCAACAAGCAAATTAAATGCAAAATGATGGAAAGGGCTTTGTTGAGCTGTACGGGATCAGGAGGACACTGGGTTTGTTTCATGGCCCGTTCTATCTCAAGAACACTTTTGCACAGTATACCCATGAGATCATCAAATGTGACGGTGGTACCTAGCAGGCCTTTTGCCCTATCCTGCAGCATGAAGGAGAAAAGTTCAGCAAATGATAGTAAACTGCTGGCTGTCATAGGGCTCAGTGGATCAAGATTGCTCTGCTGCATGTCCAAAGCATATTTCCATAAGTTGATGCAACGCTTGAAGTTTCCAGAGTCTGCATAGACAGCACCTCTGTATCTAATATAGTAGGATGTATCTGGGTGAGAAGGGCCAAGAATGCGTTCTCTAATTAATAGTGCCTGCATTCTCATTTCATCAGGGTCTGCTATAAGATTTTCTAGCTCTTCTGAGCTGTTTACCTCTTTAGCATAATCATATGCCATAACTAGTGTTTGTGGCACAGGTTTGCTCAAGATATTAGTCCTATCACTGTATCTCATTTCCATAGCCCGCTTCCAGTATTTCAAAGCACCAAGCAGATCTCTCTTTTTGTCCACAAATGTTGCTCCTAGAAGTTCCAGAGCATTTATGCGCTCAGTCTTACTGGTCTGTACATGCTGGGTCAGAAAGTCCACGATATTTGTGTGGCCTGTCACGCTAGCTGAGAGAAGAGGAGTCATTCCATAGCCATCCTTTTCCATTTTAGCACAATACTTGAGAAGCATCTTCATGATGTCCAAACTTCCAGATTCTGCACAGTCATGCAACGCAGTGTTTCCTGCAAGAGAAGACACACAAGTCATGATCAAGTTATAGTCCAAGCCCCACCCTGCTAACAGTTAAAAAAATAGTTTAAAACCCTCAAACATTAATAGTTTAAAAATAGCTGGTTTGACATGTATAGACTATGAAAGGCTTAGATGACAAGTCAAAATACTCAAGACCTCATTAAATATCACGGCTGCCAGGCATTTATACAAATCACAATGCTTGATAGAACTAAACAGGTTTTAAGGACCGTTTTGGTCTCATTATTCAAAAAAACCCATAATTAAACTGGAATTCTCCACTACATAAAAGCACAGCAAGAGGCCTCAGAAGATGATCACACTGGGTGCTATTGAAAGGCATTTAAAGAATAATGCAATCATCAGGCACAGTCAGCATGGGTTCACAAAGGGGAAGTCCTGTTCAAGTAATTTGATATCCTTCTACGGTAAGGCCATCCACCTAGTGGATAAAGGGAAGGTGGTGGATATATTTTTTCTGGATTTTGGTAAGGCTTCTGATGCTGTCCCTCACAGCATCCTTCTGGACAAATTGTTCAACTGTGGGATGAGCAGGTTCGTGGTGTGCTGGGTGAAGAACTGGCTGAAGGGCAGAGCTCAACAGGTTGTAGTGAATAAGGCTATATCTGGCTGGTGACTGGTCTAGGGCCAGTTCTGATCAATGTCTTTATCAATGATTGGGATGCAGGAATTGAATGCACCATTAGCAAGTTTGCTGACGACACCAAACTGGGAGGTGCTCTTGACTCTGAAGGGACAAGAGGCCTTGCAGAGGGATCTAGATAGACTGGAGCATTGGGCAACGATTAATGGGATGAAATTTAACGAGTCCAAATGCCACATCCTGCACCTTGGATAGAATAACATCAGACACAAGTATAAATGGGGAGAGGAGTGGCTGGAGAGCAGCCCTGCAGAAAGAGATCTAGGAGTTCAGGTCAACAGCAGCTCACTATGAGCCAGCAGCGTGCCCCGGCAGCCAAGAGGCAAACCCCATCCTGGGGGGCATCAAACATTTCATAGCCAGCTGGTCAAAGGACGGTATTGTCCTGCTGTATTCAGCGTTGGTGCGGCTTGTATACTGTGTGCTGTTCTGGGCCCCACCATTTAATAAGGATGTGAAGGTCCTCGAATGTGTCTGGAGGGCAACACAGCTGGTGGAAGGGCTGGAAGGCATGACCTGTGAGGAACAGCTGAGAACTTTGGGCTTGTCTAGTTTGGGTAAAAGGAGGCTGAGGGGTGACCTCATTGCTCTCTACAGTTTCCTGATGAGGGGAAGTGGAGAGGGAGGTGCTGAGCTCTTCTCCTTAGGATCCAGTGACAGGATGCATGGGAATGGTTCAAAGCTGCGCCAGCAGAGGTTCAGACTGGACATTAGGAAGCACTTCTTACTGAGAGAGGGTGGTCACACACTAGTGCAGGCTTCCTAGAGAGGTGGTTGATGCTCCAAACCTGTCAGTGTTTAAGAGGCATTCGATCAATGCCCTTAATAATTCGATTTAACTTTTGGTCAGCCCTGAAGTGGTCAGGCAGTTGGACTAGATGATCATTGTAGGCCCCTTCCAACTTAAATATTCTATTCTATACAGGATTTTGTATCTATTTGCAAGTATGAAACAGAAACTTAAGCTTGCTATTTCCATGTTGTTACACTTTACCCTTCTGCCTTTGTCCAATTTCCCTTCCCCTCTATCTCCAAAAATGACTAAAAAATAATTAGATCTGTATGAAAATTAAAGTTGGGCTAACTCAACAGTAGCTTTGTTTGCCTTTACACTATACCTCTTCCAACTCTTGATTTATATGTGACGTGGTTTAGCCCCAGCCGGTAGC